ATTTTCCCTACAAAGTAGGTAGATGAAAACAGTGGCAGTTTTAAGTGAAAAGCATCTTCTTCCTCTAAAAGTGGATTCACATCCCTGTCTGGGAATGACATGCTGTTGATTATTTGGGAATCAATCAACAGTTCTCATCCCCATTTAAAAAATGCTGCTGTGTCCTTGATAGGGAAAGTTAGGAAGACAAAATATTTTCTTAACAAATATTTAGTGTGTGTGGGGTGTGTGTGTGTGTTTCCATTGGAGGACATGATCACACGCTGGTGACAAATATCCCATTAGCACCTGCAAACATGGGATTGGGACAAAGGCTGGGAGCCACCAGAAGGAACAGGTGAGCCACCTGGCGGTAAAAACCCTATGTTTAGGCCTCAACAAAAGCACAAAGGACAAGATTTTTCTTTGTAGTTCTTTGGTTTTTCCTTCTGCTTCATTGCTAATTTTTCCCTTGGTCTGGTGGATTCTCTCAGCAACCCAACTTTAAGAAGCAACAGGATGGGGTGAAGAAAGACTGCCCTGATGTTGAAGCCCTGGGTTCAAGTCCTGACCAGGTAATTACTCACCATGGGCATGTTGCCTAAATTTTCTGGATCTCAGTTTCCTCATTAGCAAACCAAATAATATCTGCTCTCCCAACCTCCAAAAAACCTCTCAAGATGTGTTTAATAATACTACCAAGATACGTGGAAGTGTTTTGTAAACTCTTACTCCCTACACAATCGTGTGATCAGGGAAACTGTGTGGGGGTGAGGTGTTAGAGGAGAGGGAGCAGGTGGTCACCTGGGGGCTGAGTTCCAACTCTTGGCCACATGCTTGGCTTCCTGTGGTCCTGAAGGTAGAGACAGTGTCCCATAATATGACCTGTAGGCTCTGCAAGTCTGGCTGCTTCCTACCTCACTCGCCTTGCCTTCTACATTTTTCTTTCTCCAACCAGAACTGCTGTCCATCCTTCAGCTTTTACCCAATTATTGCTTCTTTAGGGTATCCATGCGGGACTCCCGGCTAGGTTACAATTTCTCCTGTTGCGTGATCTTAGAGAAGCACATACCTTTCCAAATTTGTAAGGGTTGTTGTGGTTACCATTTCCCTTTATTTAAGTGATTTCATATTAGTATTTGTCTCTCCTATTTGCCTATACGAGGGGCAGGGATAAATTTTGTCTTTTACCTTTTTATTCCTGGTTCCTAGCACAAGGCCAAGGATATGGTAGGTGCTCCGTGCATATTTGTTAAATGACTGAATAAATGACCAGATGAATGAATGAAGAGATGGATTCATCTTGTAGATCCTGTAAGGATCCAAGGATAACTCGTGGATATTTGAGCCTCACCCCTGAGCGGTCAGCTCTGTCTTCCCAGCATGAAGTTAAGAAATAGTGTGAATGAGGGGCGCCTGGGTGGCGCAGTCGGTTAAGCGTCCGACTTCAGCCAGGTCACGATCTCGCGGTCCGTGAGTTCGAGCCCCGCATCAGGCTCTGGGCTGATGGCTCGGAGCCTGGAGCCTGTTTCCGATTCTGTGTCTCCCTCTCTCTCTGCCCCTCCCCCGTTCATGCTCTGTCTCTCTCTGTCCCCAAAATAAATAAACGTTGAAAAAAAAATTAAAAAAAAAAAAAAGAAATAGTGTGAGTGAGTAGTTGGGTGAACAACTATTCTGGTTTGCCCAGGACTGGGCACTTTCAGTGCTAAAGCTAGGAGAGTCCCAGGCAAACCAGGGCAAATTGATTACCCCAACCTGATACCCCACCTCAGGTTGGTGAAATTGGTACTGGAACCATAGAAAGCCAGAATACAACTGGTGCAAACTGCCCTTTTATGCTCAGAAATGTATTTACCTAGGAGTCATTTGGATTTGTGTTCATCGACTGGACATTCACAAAAGGACACATATAAAAGGGAAGGGAGCTTTCTGGAGAAACCATGACTCCCAGAGAGCACCCCACTCTGGGTAAGAAGGTAAACGTTGACGGGCATTAAGGGGGCCCTTTTTGGGATGAGCACTGGGTGTCATATGTAAGAGATGAATCACTGGGTTCTACTCCTGAAGCCAAGACTACACCGTATGGTAACTAACTTGAAAATAAATTAAAAAAAAAAAAAAAAAAAGTTGCTGGAGATGGAGTTGCACCTGGGCTGACTCATGTCCTCAGGAAAACAAACCGACAAACCCCGTGTTATTTTTCTGAGGAGGGAACTGTGCTGGGCTATGCCAGCAAACTTGTTTATACTTGTGTTGGGGTGTGTGTGTGTGTGTGTGTGTGTGTGTGTGTGTGTGTGTGTGTGTGTGTTCTTGCTTGAGCAGCAGCTATCAAGAAGCCAGGGCCATTTTGTCCAGAATGGGAGGCGTCTGAGCACAAGCAGCCCCAGAGCTGAGCGGGCAAAGCGCAGCACCAGTGCTGGGGAGCGGGGTCTCCGTTTTGCAAGCAATCCCGCATGCCTCTGAGCTTGGGGAAGTGACCTCTTTGCGGACACTGGGAGTGAGCACCTTTAGTTATTCTTCTGCAGGAATCGTGGACTCTTTAGACTGAGTAGGGGAGTGGGGGTGGAAGGTGTAGATGGCAGTGAGAGGAACAGGTACAGGGTGCTTTCACCCGACAGACAGGTTTATGGGTAAGCTTGAAGCTCTTCCTCGAGGACTTGCACAAATGTCTGAGGAAGACCTGAGGTGGGTAATGAGGCTGAGGGCCTGCCAGTGGAGGTGGGACAAGCAAAGGCACCCAGGTCGTTGTGAAGGGGACTTTATTTGTAGCCACAACTTGGGTAGCTCGGCTGACATTTGGGTTCCGTTTTGAAGGATTTATAACGTGATTTTGCATATGGTGGAAGTGGAAGACATTGCTGAGAAGCTGATAATTCTGTCCACGTACATGCCCACATTGGGTAGATCTTAGGCACAGCCATTCTGGGATAATCGATTTGCCCTGGTTTGCCTGGGACTCTCCTAGCTTTAGCACTGAAAGTGCCCAGTCCTGGGCAAACCAGAATAGTTGTTCACCCAACTACTCACTCACACAATTTCTTAACTTCACGCTGAGAACACAGAGCTGACCGCTCACAGCCCCATAACGTAGCAGCAACAAGAGTATGTCTTCCTCTGGGATATTAAGAATCCTCAAAACTGGGGCACCCGGGTGGCTCAGTCGGTTAAGCGTCCGACTTCAGCTCAGGTCATGATCTTGAAAGAGCAGACCTAGGCCGGCTGACTAGTGACTATGTCCCCGACATGGCCGCAGAAAGAAGTTCCCGCTCAAACCTCAGACCACGCATCCCCCCCTTGAGTAACTTA